AACAGTGATTTGGTGTGGCTACTACTGAGCTGCATTTCATGACTAATGTTGCCTCATTCTTATGTTGTCTCATTCTCTTGAACTGCCCCTATCTTTTTCCATATGATATGTATTGCCTTCAATTGCAAGCTTCTTCAGACAGTTCCTGACAGTTTGAATAGGGCTTAGTATTGTTGATCTTTGATCAGGGCACTTGAGTGTTAACACAGAGTGAAAATAATCATAGTTCTTCTATAAGACCAAATGGTCAAGAAGTGGAGAGAGAAATGGTGCTTTTGGATCAGAGGTTACTTTAAACCTCCGCAGACACCACAGAAATAGGTAGCATATTTTTTCAAATAATTACATGGTTGAACAGCTGTGTTTGAATTAAAATTGGCCAGAAAGGTCAAGGATGTTTTACCTGTAAATTTCCATTGTGATCAGTGAAGAGGTCAGTAAATATATATTTTGGATCTGGTATCACTGGCATAATTGACTTCTGAAATCTGTAAAGAGAAAAAAAACTTTACTAAATGTTCCATCCATTCAGAGAAGGATGATCTACTCCAAAAATGAACTTTGTTTAGAAAGACAATTCATACTGCAGCACTATAGTATAAAAAACGTATTTTATCTTTGATGAATCATATTCAGTATCATTGTTTTTAAGAGCATTCACCCTAAAATCTGCGTACAAGCTTCTCTCCTGTGAACAAATTCTGCGGTGTGCAACAGAATGGTGGATGCCGTCAGCTTAGAACAGTGGTTCTCAACCTTTTTTTGTACCAGGACCCATTTGTAAACATTGCTGGCTAGTCCTGACCCAAGTAAACAGTTTAAGTAGAAAACAGCCCCTTGGCTTTGCTGGTGCCCCTCACTCCTGACTTCTGCCCCCTGCCCCCAGGCCCCAGCCTCCCACCATATGGTATTGGGCGGGGGGGAATAGGGCATGAGGGGCCCCAAGCAGCCCCTTGCAAAACTTTTCCAGCCTGCAATGGAAAACCCATGTTCCCTACATTTTTCTCCTTTAAAAGAGAGTCCATTTTTAACATTTGTTTGTGACCCTTTCATATATTCTTGCCACTCACTTTTGGGTTGCAACCCTCAGGTTGAGAAATGCTGGCTTACGACTCTGATTTCTGGCATGTTTATCCAAGACATGTCACAGCAAAATGCATTACATACCCGAGTTTCCTCTAAACTCTGAAGAATTGTCCCCCAAGGGATGAAATACTGACCGGAAATTACCACAGCAGGGCATAGTATAGCCATTCTGGTGTGCAGGAAACAGCCATATATTGGCTTGGTGCTTGTTACAAAACTTAGGCCCTTTTCTGTTCTTCAGACTGGTGAAAACCTGGGTGTGTAACTTGAGTTGGGATTCTAGTAACACATATCTTCACCTGTGGTATTGTAGCATGAGTTTTTTAAAAGAAAAAACTAATTATCTTGTTTTTTCAGTTTTTATTGTAGATAAAATGATGTGCCAAGCTGTCAGACCAAAAATCTTGCTGATATCTTGCATTTGCTGACTGTGCTTATCAGTCTACTTTAGCCTAATGCAACAATGATTATTGGTTCTTTGATCACATCCAGTTTTTGAAAATGGCACTTGAAAGTGTGGCGGGCTTGCTGGGCTTTGCCTGGCTCTCTGGGCTTAGGAGACCATGAATACATTGGTGGGGCAAAACCCACCAATCAGAAACAGGCAGGGGAGGAGCCAGGAGGAGAGTCTGCTCCCCCTCTACTCCAAAGCGGGGGCAGGAGTGGACTTAATTAGGAACTGCAGCTGTAGCCCCACTAATTGGTTCATTTTCAACCTGGGGCAGAGTCCCAGAAGGGGATATAAGCAGCTGTGTGCTGAGCACAAGACACAGTCAGTGAAGGATGAAGAAGAAGGAAGGGGTCCTGGGGCCAAGAAGAGCTGGGAGAGCTTCCCAGCAGTCATATCCAGCTGCCCAGAAGAGCCCGAAAGATTCTGCCACTGGACAGAAGCAGTAGGCGGTGCAGGCATCACTGTACAGAGGGTCCGCAAGGGACTGGGACCCTGCGAACCACAGCGAGGCAGCTTGGGTCTCCAACCCTGGCACAAGTCTGGTCTGTGTTGCAGGCGTCGCTGCACAGAGGGTCCGCAAGGGACCAGGACCCTGGGAGCCACAGTGAGGCAGCTCGGGTCTCCAACCCCAGCACGAGGCCAGGCTGCAATGCAGGTGTCGCTGCATGGAGGGTCCACGAGGGACTGAGATCCTGGGAGCTGCAGTGAGGCAGCTCAGGTCTCCAATCACATCATGAGGCTGGGCACGGGAGGCAGCGCTACTGGCCTGGAGATGGAGGGGCCAGGTGGTCTGGGACCCATTCCCTGCAGTGGGTCCACAAGGGCCCCGGGAATGGAGCAGTTCACAAGCATGGGGAGCAGCATTCAGAGTGGCGCAGCCCTGGGTATACACGAGGCAGCCCAGGCCCGCAACTCCTGCTGAGAAGGATTGGGCCACTGGGATGCATGAGCCCTCCCTGGAGAAACTTTAGCCAGGCCAGGGAGCTTATGAACACTGCCCCACCCGGCTCCTTGGAACACAAGGGTTAGTGGGGAAATGGGTGTCCCACCGGGGAAGAGGCAGGAGGAAGAGATCCCTTAGAGGAGGGGAACCACTAGAGAACTCTTGCATCTTATATTTTAGAGTGTTTACTGATTGTTTGATATACACTGTGCATTTTGGAGTGTTTATTAACTGTTAACTGTACGCCTGATAGTTTAAAGTGCCATTTATTGTTGTACTTACCTGTTCATATTGTTTAGAACTATGCTTACCTGTTTATATTTAGGTGTGTATATAATTATAATCATATGTATTTATAACCTGCAAATATTCACTTTAGTTCACTACCTTTTTATAAACTTATATTAAATGTATATCTGTTTAAAACATTGCTTTCTGTTCCTCCTCTATTAAGACACAATAGGTAGGAGGGAGCTACAAGTAAATTACAGTTTCCACCCCCAGCACATGTACCCTGCTGGATTTCCCCTTTTATTGGTGAGAGGGGACACTCACTTTGGGGACACCCGGGTTACAAAAGTGACACAAAGAAGTAAAGATTGGCTTTGAAGCAAGATGGAAAGGAATTGGCTTTTTAATGGTTTAAAAAGTGCAAATCCAAGGCTAGGTGGGCCTTTTAAGACTATAAAGGTCCCTCAGCACTACCACAATCATTCTGTTTATACTTGTAAATGAAAGGAAACCACCTGGAGAAGTAATTTCATGGCATAGCAGCCCTTAAAGCTCTACTTAACTTGTTGACTTCCCAATTTTCTGCAGTCACAAAATCTGACTTCCTTGTCACATATGAATTTGAATGCTAAATACGTTGATCCTGACGTCAGCTGCAGCATTTATTACATTGTGTTGTATTGTGTTGCATTGTCTTCCACTGTGTTTCATTACATTAATGAAAATATATATGACCAGCAAATGTATGCTTACCTTTGCCATTTGCACAGAAAAATCAGGAGGATGAATATTATGAGAAAGATCACCAGCAAAAATATTAAGAGGATTATGGCATCTGACAAAGGTTTTATATCATCCGCACATGATTCTAGGAATATCACAGAAATACTTGTTGAAAAAAAACTTTCTTATCAATTTAAGAAGCAAACGTTCTATACAATAGCAATGTTAAGGAAGAGAGAAGAACAATTTAAATAGAAAGTGAAAATCACTATTCCTTAAACTATGCAATAACATGCCATAATTTTTGCTATCCAGCATAATTGACCTCCTTTTAATTGACCTGGGGAGAAGGTGGGGCTTGAATTATGAGCAGAAATCCTGGTTTTCTATAGACATGCGTGCATACACATACACATACACACACACACACACGTATGCATGTATGTATGTATTACTGGTGTTTCATTTAATCGTGGAAATATGTGAATTTTAGGTTACTTTTTTAACCACAAAACTGGGGATTTTTTGTTTTATCAAAGAAAACCAGGATCCCTGTTTATGAGAATTTATACTGATTAATCTGAGACCAAAAGAAGAAATGTCATTTCTAGGGTAAGTGCTGTTTAGGTGTCTTTTAAGTGCCAAAGTTACTAATAAGTATCCTATTTAACCTCCATGAAACATTTTAAATTCCATTCAGGCTCTTAATTTCCATTGGTTTTGTGTAAGTACACAGCACCTCTGCCTAGTCTAAAAAAGCTCTCTGCAGTCCCTTGTGAAGCAACTTATCTTTCCAAGTATGCTCAAAAGGGTTCATAAGATGGCCACCAAAGCATTTAACATCACATTCATGCCTTTGTCATCCAGCTGCTCTGGGAAAAGTGTGCAAACTCTACATGTCTTCGATGGCACGAGCAGAAAAGGGGCAAATGAAATGACTGGTTGACACCAAATACTGCATATGAAAGGGAAGGAGTTAGAGGTACTGCCTTCTTGTTCACTACCCTAGTGGTTAATAATTTCCCCAGAAAGCAAGAGATCTAGATTTTAGGCCCCCTAACTCAGAGAGGTTTGAAATACACTCACATATCTCTCTTCCCAGTACAATGCCCTAACTACCAGGCCTCTGTAGGGTGCCATAGGATTTGAGTTGTGGGGCTCAATGAGAGACTTAATCTCTTTAGAGATGTAATAGTCAAGGTTTGAATTATGGGGGAACTCAGGGGGGGCTGAGCCCCCCATAAGAGATGAGAGCCCCCCCTGTAAAATTTGAAAATCATAACCTGGGGAGAGCTCCAATTTTATAAGGGCATCATAATTGGCAGCCTATTTTTTTGTAGCCCCCCCTCTGCCCCCCAAGAGTCAAACTGTAATTTGAACCCTGGTAACAGTATTAGTTCACTTGAGGGACCTCCCTAAATTTGAGGTAAGCATCAAGCTAGATTAGAGGCACTTTAGAGGATTTGGGCAAACACCAGGAAATCACTGGAGAATGTCCTATAATGTAATGTTGCCTGGCTTTGAGCCCTCTGCTTCAAAGAAGACATAAGGTCTTGCTAGAGGTGAAGTTCCTGATGTGTGTACAAATAACAGTTGTCGCTGAAAGTTCCTGTTTCTCATTTTCTTGGCAAGAAATGGGGGTTGGGGTGGGTAGTGGGATGTTCCTGACAGATCTAGCCAGATACTTGGTTTGCTACAGTTTATGCCCCAGAAGGGTTGCATGTTTGAGACAACCTAGACAGCAAGTGCTGGTGCAGAAGACTCTTCCTCTACGCTCTAACCTACTAAAACATAACACCGGTAAGCTGTAAGTGGTACAGACTGCTTGTTAGATGGAACATGAAATACTGATTTTTAACTTATATTTTCTCAAATGCGATATGATTACTTGGGAGAAATCCTCTCTAGCTATACAGACCACTACAGCTCTCTCTAATGAGAATTCTGGTGGGATGTTTTCCATGAAGTTTAAGGGATTAAGCTTCCAACTCTCTAAACATAACTTGGATTTAACCTTCTAAATATGGTGAGTAAAACCCATCTGCTTTCTCAGACTTTGGAGAATGGTTCCTAAGCATTAAGGGCTTTCAAACTTAATTGCTGATGGTTATCTCAATCTTATTTTGATTACAGGTTCTTAGGAAATTCTCTTCTATTTTAGTCTATAATGATCTTTTACTATTACCCAACTGATTATGGTAAATATATTAACTCTTATGAAAGTTTCCAGAGTTATGGATTGGTATTTTTCACGAATAATTCAACATAACTACATGCATAATTAACTTATTTTATGTTTTATATGCATTATATTATTATTCTTTATATGCTGCCCCCCCCCATGAGGCTCAAGATGGCATATATAGCTTATAATAGCTTATACTAAAAACCAGATAAATCATAAGGACAGAATAAAAAATATTAAAATAAAATATGTAAATAAAATGCCTGCCCAAGTAATAAGATCTTAGAGTGTGTCCAGAGTGTGTCAGTGTGCCCCAGACAATATTAATAAACACTATGGAGTAGAAGCATCACATATCTAAGAGTTTACAAGCAAGAAGTCAAAGCTGTGAGAGAAAAGACAAAGTGGTATCTCAACTGAAACATTATAACATACAGTGCAGAGGGCTATGAGAGCTCAGAGACAGACACAGCATCTTTTCCATGACTGAAAAATTCTATTTAAGAGCATTTTTTAAATCCATGAGCCTATCTACACAAGACATTTACTGTGGAGTTGCCCTATTAGGCCACATGAAACGAATAAAATCCGCAGCAGATTAGTACTTGTAAATATGACTACTATCTTGCTGCAGAGTTTTTTCATGTGCAGCAATGCATGTGTAAATGCTGACCTGGCTGGCTGGGGTATGAGAGTGCTTCAGTGTGGAGGCTGCCTACCAGTTAGCCTCCACACTGAAGTACCCTTGTGCCCCAGCCAGTCCCTCTGCAGCACAGTCATCCAGGTTGGAGCAGCCCCGAGCTGGCAGGCTGACCCCCTGGGCCTTCTGCCAGCTGCAGCTACTTTGACCCAGCAAAACATGCTGTGGTCCTGGGTCCACCTGGAAAGGTAGTGCCTGGGAGCAATAAACTCTGTGCTGGAGTTTATTGCTTTGCATCCATATGTGCATGCAGATGCACCCAGAATTTTGTAAATTAGCACAAACAGTTTGGTTATCATTCTAAAATCAGCATAACTAGCATTCTAAAATAGTGACCAGCTTCCCCAGTTATGTCTGTCATAACCTTGTAACATAGTGAGAACAGCAATGTCATTTACAATAGTGTAATGAAGAGGGCTGGGGTAGGGGAGTGACTGGACATCAGCACTAGGCACTGACCTGCTGAA